TCGTGCCACTTCTTATATACGAATCTGATAAGAATCGGATAAGATTCTTAGGAAAAGCAGACAAGAAGCTGGCAAGATCCTTACCAGATTCCCGTCCAATTCTTATATAAGAATTGACGACTAGGGTGTGTTCGTAGGAGGACTCAAATTGTGTGTGTCTCGCACCAAATTCAACCAATAGCTGATTTTCATCAAAAATGCGGTTTATTCCACATTTTTCCGCAACATTGTCACAGAGTTAAATCAGCTTTAGCTCTCTTTAACGGCTGCGCGTTTTTTGGAAGAAATGTTTCAATTTTTTGGTTGAGCAGTCCAGAAGTGAAACTGAAATGCCTTTAGAAAGATCCTGTCCTACGTCGTTTTATTTTCTCCCTTTCTGAGTGTATTTTCGAATTTCGTTTTCGACCTATGCTTTCGGAATTCGGAAGCTTTAGAGGAATTGGGAAAAGTACTTGACAATAAATTCTTTTCGGCCATTGTAGACAATGTCTTTGGAGTTTTGACATCGCAACTTGTACGCAGCTCTATAACGTTACGTACTTTTTTGCCTCGTTCAGCGTAACAATATGACCACATTCAACATACAGTTGGGAAATTTTCGTACGGTCTGAATCATTTTTAATAAAACTTTTCTGTTTGCATAGTAACGAAAATGCTACATTATATTTCTGTAATTCACCATCTGCTAGACTAACGTAGACTGTGATGCCATTAGTCCAATCTAAACAAATTACGTAAAAATGTCAGCGATAGTTTCGATCGAAAAACTCGCCCTTACCAATAGAGAAAATCACATTCATAATTGTTCTATTATACACATCTAAATGTATCAATGCACTATAACTGTGGACATGGTTATAATCGCATTTCCACTTATATATGTCGATTAAACCACTACTATTCCAACATAGTAGATAGTTGTACTCTTTATAACCAAAATGTGCTGATACAGCTGAACCATAGTGACAATGTGTCGGTATAGTTAAATAATTATATTTATACTCTGGCTGTCGATCGAACTTGAAATTTGATAATTGTTCACATTCGCAACTGTGAATTATTTGAACGGACTCGTTAGTTATAGCACAGAGCAATGGTTTCTCTAAGAAATGTGATTGAGGCAACAGTTTTAGGTCTGCTCTATCAATGGAAGAAAGTTCATTGAGACTGAGATAAATAGATTTTGAAAGTTGTGTCTGTCTGAAGTCGAATTCTATTTGATCAGTCGGTAACAATTTCTCTTTATCAATATATGGTATCTGATAGAAGTGTAACTGATGTTTTTCCTTATGATACTGAACATCGGTACATACGTTCAGTAAATCAATGTCAATTGACATATTCTTAACAGATTGTTGTAATTCAATCTTACCGATCCATACAACTTTTAATATTGTAGGATCCATTGTAATTATAACTAGATAGTGTAGTTCGTTTGATTTGGCTGGATAAATTTTTAGTAGAGTATAGGTATTTGTATCACCAGCATTTTCTCTTAATTTACTACGGCAGATCGTACAATTTGAAATTTGTTGGTTCAATTCAATTGTGTGTTTCAGTTGATTCTGTACAAAATTCCAAATGAATAGTGTACCATTTCTTTTGCAGCATAGAATTGTTTCAAAACCGACAGTATCAACTATGAGATATTCATTATCTTTATTTATCTCTTCTTCCTGATGGAAACAAATTGGTTCTGTTCTATGGTAATCGTAGACGAGAAATGAATTTGATGTGTATACACAGATAAAGAATGTATAGTAGTGTACAATTGATTTGTATGCACTTGTCAGCGAAGGTAAATTCCATTTCCATGTATAGTCAGTTAAATAATATTTTGCTAGTGCAACTACTAATTGACTATCTGTCAATATATAGAGATGTTCATCTTCAATTGCTATGCAATGAATATTCGAGTTAAATTGGCATCTATGCAATGGTTCGACACATGATGAGGACTGCAGTGATCGTAGAACTGAATGTTCACTACATTGCTGTTGAAGCGACATTAAATTAGATGGTAACTCTCTAAATCTTTCTAATCTACTCGATATTTCAAATGCAAAGTTTGATGGATATCGATCGAGTATCGATTGTAACATTTCATACAATTTGAATAGAAACTGAAATTCACCAGGACGATAGAATTGTTTAAAATTAGAAAATTTTTCTAGTAATAGCTTTATTTTTAGTCCAGTTTTTAGATAACACAACATAAATTCATAGTTATATAATGTAGATGGATGCATATAATCGTATCGTTCAGTTCCTTCTGTCAATTGTTTCAGTCGTCTGTAGTTAAATTGTTCTCCTTTCTTTACGCGTTTACGAAATGGTTGCATTACGCTTAGACGACGATTTGTTTGAATTGTGTCAGATGAATAGTGATATTTCTGTTGTAATTTTTTGCTGAGTTCATAAGACTTCTGATTTGGCGGTTGATATAATCCAAAAAAGTAATTCAGACGATTTTTCTCTAATATCTCTAGCTGTGAATAAATGTCTTGCATACATGGTATGTATTCAAAAAAACTACGATGGTAACTGTAGAAGAAAGAACAAAAGTAAAGATATATGAGCCAGTATAACAGTTGCCATCTATGCAGATCAGAACATAGATATAGTTTGAATTAGATAACTTAGGTAAGACAAACGAGGGAAAAGCAGATCTCAAAGACTTGAAGTCTTTAAGATCTTGTCAAATCCCTTCCAATCCTTCGCAGCCCTACGCATTCACTTGAAGTCTGTCGCAATCCCTCGAACTCTCAATCCCTTGTTGTCCTTCAAAGTCTTGGCAATCTCTGAAATCAATTCCGCTTTTCTTCCTAGGGTAAGACGCCGCACCACCGTGGCGCAGAATAACTTTTTCAACAAAAAAAATGGAAATAGCTAGCACGTCGTTGTCGAGGGCGGAACAATAAATAGAACTTTTTTTCTATCGGCCTCGGTGTGTTTTGGGCTAAATATAGTTCTTCGGAACTGACTTTTCCTATCATTATAGCTTTCAGTCAGTCGGAAACTCTGAGATAAATTCTTCTCATTGCTATCCAAAATTTCTGACCAGAAATTTCGCAGAAATCCGCAATATCTTATAAACTGGATGCAAATAAAGCTGTAAAATTCGGAGATTTTTCGAATCACTGCAGTGGTATTTCTAGATGTTGTATAGTATAATGTTTTGCTGGTAAAATGCCGACGATGATGAGAAAGTTGGATGCCAGGTAGTGCTCTTTCTTCACACACTCAGCCTGCCTTTAAAGAACATAGCAGACATTCTCGAATCCTTCTATACTTACAAGTAAATACACGTTAACCCATCAATTTCTTTTTCAACTAAATAATTTTTCATATCATTCTTAATTCGTGTCCACAACGTACCGGGCAAACGAAATATTTCTATCGGTGGTAAATAGTGTACGAATATTGACTGTAATACTTGATCATCTGAACTCAAAATGTCTTCCAATTCATTTTCTGTTATACCCTGAAATATATGAATATATTCCATTGCACGTTGAAATAATACTGTACCATGTCGTTCTGACAACCGACTATAAAGATAATTTAGCGCATTGTTTGTCGTTTCAATCTGAAGAAAACCGTCTGGCGGTAAAAGATCGTATGAATGCCATCTCAGTGTTTCGTCGTAGATTAGTGAGAGAAAAAGTGGTGTGACCGATCGATTAATCACCTTTTTGGTTATCCAATCGTACTGTATAGGAGTTAATTGACGCTGATCTTTCTCTAACCAAGAATTCAACGTCTGTAACGAAAGTTTTTCGTTAAAATTTGTTATTTCAATAAATATGGCAGAATTCGTAAAAAAGCGTTTCAGACTGTTTAGAATTTCGTGTGTTTCATATTTTCCATCCTTTAAATTTGTTACTTTAGGAATTGTAGAGAGAATAAACTTGACAGTGTTAGGTGAGCCGAGTGGAAACCATTTTGAACAATCATAATGTACAGAATCAAGCTGATCTAGTGAGTCGAGTAATATAAAGAGAGTTTGCTCCTTCGACATTAGGGAGAGGACGTCTTGCAACTGAGTGCGTAGCTGAGAGGTATTGTCTGAATAGATTTGTGGTACGAAGTTTAAATTATAAATTTTTATTATTTGCTGTGTGATATTGTAGAGTGGTTTGGCAATGTCCGAAGAAGATGGAGTAGTGCCGAGAAAACGAATAATAATTGAGTTGGTAGTAGTGCGCGATGACGATATCCAAAGTGGAATCTAAAATAACAAAAGCCTGGTGAAGTTATGTGCAAGCGAAAGTGTTACCATGGCTTAGATAGGTAGAGTCTTTCCGTTTCTTAGACTAACTTCTTTTCACCGCTTCTCTTCCTACTTGCATTTCTGCCACATCTGGCTTCTTTTCCTTTAGATGTTCAATTGACGAACACCATGTTCAGCTTTTCACTTTCAACTGTTTTCCTATGTATTTCTCTAAAGAGCAATCGCTGCTAGACCGTACACGAGTCGTAACACCTCGGTTTGTTTTCAGTTCTCATGAATTTCCGTTCTTTTTATTTTGTGACAGAAAAAGCACCTTTATTTAATGCGCTGGATTACTCTACCTGTTCAGCAATTTTTGCCATAATCGATGATTTTCCGCACCCGGATTCTCCATAGATTACCAATAGTTTCTGAACTTCTTTTGATAGTACAAATTCCTTCACCTAAACGTAATAAACCGTCAGTGCGGAGTCATGACTTATATTCCGAACGGGATATTTATCCCGATCGGCCTATACGATTATCCCGATTGGGCTATAAATCCCGATCGGGATGATTTGTATAGCCTGATCGGTCTATATAATCA